CTCTAGAAACGAACAAGGCATGTGGGGTTCAAGCTGTATATGCATCGATGAAATATTGCATTACGAGGGAGACATTGTTATAAGATATAGTACAAGAAATGTTAGGTGAAAGCTAAATATCTTCTGTCAGTTTTTCAATAATAAAGTATAATAATTCTTTCTAATATTTTTATTCATTATCTATTTAAAACATCAGGTGTTTGATTGTATTGCTTATGCTGCCTATACTATCAATTTTGTTTTTTCAAAAGAATGAATACATACTTCCTGGTTTTTGTTCACCATTACTGTGGTCATCCCTTGTATATAGGTAAGTTTTCTATTTAATTTTATAATACTGTGATACTTTTTTGTGAGTTCTTTAGCTTATATTAATAAATAATTAAAAATATACTTATAGTGGAATTTTGTGTTAAAGAATAGAAATGGTATTTCCTATTTAGTACATTACCGTTTGTTAAAGAAATCAGAGTCGCGAGAAGATGCAGTAATACTGCAAAATTAAATGAACATCGTACAGATTAATAGATAATAAATAAGAATATTGAGAACAATTATTATATTTAATTACAGAAAATCACTGGAACTTTCACATTCAATGTATAGTGTGCCCTTTCACATTTGAGAAAAGTTTAGGGATTACTTAAGTACATCAAAAGAACAAAGAAATTTATATTAAGCCAAGTACGATATATATTTATATGAACTTTTTCATTCTTTTGATATGCCGAAGAGATTCCTAATCCTTTGCCTGTATGTTCCAGAACACCTTGTATTTTAATAATATTTCTCTTTTAATTTCACATAGAAAGAATATGTTACCGCGTGTTCTATTAATTAGTCGTTGAATTACGGAACTACAGTGAGTACAAACATAACGCGTAGATATTCATGTTTTAAATCGACACCTTGTATTAACACCTTTCGAGTCAAGTAGATTTAAATTGAAAAAAAATTTAATCGGCGAACGTTAGATTCCAACGTCGTCGAATGTGTATGCATCCTCTGAGTACAACATAGAAACCTATTTAAATAGATTACAGATAACACGTCTATGGTCATCGAAGTCCTCACACACGTTTAGAAATTTTCATAAATTTTTTTAACATAATTTCTTAAAACACAATCCCCTGGAAAAGACACAAAAACCGATTGACTGACTCTTATATTAGACTCTACATCCACCACTAACGAGTAAAATTTAGCTATTCATTCCACATAACTAAAAATCGTGGCGTTGTTATGAATTATTTATCGTTTTTCTTCTCGGGTTTCGTTTATATTTCTGAAAAATTTTAATTAAGTCGAGTGTTATTTTGAATCAACAGAAATACTCAAAACAATCGGTCAAACAACGAAAAAATATTAGTACCCGTTACATTTTTAAAAAAATCCATTTAGAATTTCTTAGTTTAGAATCTCGAATTTTTCGCTAGGAAGAAATCGTTGAAAAATATTGTTACGATTTTCTTAATGCATCAACAACGTTGTTTCTTTAGTTTCTTGTATTTGTCTTAATGCATTTAATGCAGTGGAATGATAAGATATGATTCTCTTTATTATTCTGCCGCGAATGTTTAAAGACATTATATGATTTTGAGGATTTATATAATTTAAAGATTTTTATAAGATTTATTATATGATTTAAACATTAAGAATGAAATTATTTTAAGTGCGGGGGATGGTGAAAGTCGAACAACACTTTCAAATGTTCCATTTAATATTCGAAACGAGAAAAGGCCAAATAAAAATGGATAATGTAGAAATTATTCCATCATTTAAACATTATAAAATAAGTCTAAAGTTTTTTTTAAGAAATTACATTATACTGTCAGAAATTAATTAAGAAAAAAAGAATGTTTCCGAATATTTCCAAATCTATGCCAGTATATCATGAAGATATGAAGATTTATATAAATCTTATATAACTTATTTGTCAATTATAATCTCTTCATAAAATTATAAGTTTGATCTTCGATTTACATACATAATACAAGAAATATAACTGCAGAAAATAATCAAAGGAATTTTAAATCTTCAAAGATTAAATGAAACTTCGACAAGCATCAGAATATTTTCATAATCCACCACACCGTGTTTTAAGTCGTGAATGTTGTACACAGAAGTGTTGAAAGCTGCGTTATTATTATTCAATGAACAGACAAGAATGGAAAAGAAAAGAATACGATGACAATGTGACTATTATCGAATGACAGTCATTAAATCCAAACGTGAACTCGTTTGATCAATTTTTCGGCGCCCATGTTTAATCGATCCCTTGAACATGAAAGAATAGATGGTACATGCTCCGTAGATATGTAAGGGTTTGAGGGGTGATGTGTGGGTGTAAGGGCTCTACAGTTCTTCACAGGGTGTGCAGTAGCACAAAATAAAAAGAAAGAAGAAAGAAATAGGTAAAACGGTATTCCTACGTAGGGGTGTTAAAGTTTAACATCATGTCATGCATAGTCACTAAGTAATTATTCTAACCAATTCCAAAACAGAAAGCTTTAGGGTTTAGCACTGCAACTGGCTTTACTTTTGCAAGCTCCTGTATATTTCTGTGTCTGTTCTCAGATTTATGTGAGTTAATTCGTTGTCAATACCATATCTTGGTAAAACGAGTCTCTCGCGTGTTCGAGCGCATAATATACAATGAAACCGTATACTCGTTTGCACTAGTTTCTGCACGCATCTGCGAAACGTACCAACTCGTGTCGTATATCGAGCACTCAACGAGAAAATCCCGCGCGTAAATGTTACAATGCTTAC